TGTGAATTAAGTTTGAAAGACATTCGAAATCAACATTTTATGACTGTCGTTCTGGCGTGGGGTGCCTGGTGTTCTTGTTCACGAATCAGGGATAGTTTGTCAATTACGTCCCGATCTTTGTGCCCGGCCAATTCGTAACCCTCTGAAGCAATTTGTGCGGTGATCTTCTGCAGCTGGCTGAAATACTCGTGCTCCGATCGAGGAAGGTCAGATATGGGCAGCTGACGCGTCGACACAGATGGATTCGTTGAGGTCCACGGTATCACCTGAGCCTCCAGATTGTCGGCAGCATACAATAGGTGCCATTTCCGTGCTATCAAGTCTGCTAAAAAAAATGCGCATCTGACGATCCTGCCGGACGGCCATGATGTGGTGACAGGGCAGAGCATAATGCCGGAAAAAAAGACTGCTGCAGGTCGTTGGACGAACAGCCACCACACCAGTCTCGTCACACGCTGTCTGCTGACTGCCTTGGGATAAATCTAGCGTCAATCCAGAAGCTCGGCGTCATAGCATGTCGTCGGACGCTTGATCGTCTCGGTGTATATCTCTGCATCTCTGTCGGCGCGAAGTGTGAAGCACCATGAGGTAGGACATAATGAATTTCGACAGCGGGCCATTGGCCCTGCACACATACTTCAGTTTTCCATGCATTGATTCTAGATGGTTGTTGATAAATACTCCAGCCATGCCTGGCCCAGACAGACCTCGCACCCACTCCTACCTGGTGTCTTCCCAGTTTTCGCTGAGGTATCTGTCTGTGGCAGGACGCCCGATCTCCCAACGCAGTCGACTATACTCAGTGTCTAAGTCCACAATCACCAGCTGCTGAAGGATCCGTAGGATCCGCTCCCACTCAGCCTTAGGCATTGCAATGAAATCCACTTCTCGACGGAACGGCTGCAGCGCATGGACGCTGCATGGAAACTGGTCTCAGTTGAGGAAGACCTCAGTAATGGCCGACTTCTCAGCGCAGTCCTTGTTCGTCAGCCACACCTGCAGCGAGCGTCACGGAGTTAGCCGGTGAGCATGATTGCGGCATGGTCAACGTGAACGACGTGAGGCTCAAGGCTACAGCATGCTTACGCTGACTGCCTAGATTTTCAATGATTATCAAAATGAGAACCGCTCTGTTTTCTGTTCTATCGTTGCAAGACTATTTCCAAGCACACATTAATCAATTCCTTTCAGTATGACATAACATATGAAAACATCAATTCAATAATACCAGCCTTGGTGTTGTTAGCTGCGGCATCATTTTGTTCCCTGAAACTCCGCAACATGGTGTTTATCATCCGCGTCGTCTCACTGGTGACCAGAACACAGCAAGCGGAACGCCAGGTCCGAGCAAATCCACCGCGAGGATCGTGAAGATGGGCGTCCTGATGTCTACAAGCCTGCAGGTGGAGTCCATCGACAGAAGCTCTGGAAACTTCTCGTACGCCGACCGCATCTCCTAATCCTGGAAAAGAGGCCGCACACGGTACTATCGTCCTCCACAATGGTGGATGTAAATCCACGTTCAGTCAACAGATTCACGGCAACTCCCAGGTCAGATTCCCAACTCTTGGCGGCCTTCAAAACGTTGTTGAGATCATGGCGCGTAAGGGCTTTTCCGTATGGGTCCAGCAAGTGCTGCCGAATGCGCTTTTTGTCGGCGCCAACGGCATGATACTGGCGGGGATTATTTTTTCGTCCTCGTCGGGCGACAATTTTCTGGCTGCAGCGGAAAGCTTGCCTTCGAGACCGAGTGGGAATGCCCTAGTGAAATGTCCCAATTTGTAAATGCAATTATTTTTTTCCAGAAACACCGAGGTGCTCACGGGACAGACGTCTTTTTTGGTTCTCGTGTTTTGGATACGATGATCACCAGCTATGCTTTCACACTGGCGCCCACCATGAGTGCATGGGAATTTCACGAGACGGTACTTTTTCCGCTGCAGAAGAGTTTCCTTGTCGGCACGGTCAGCGACCGACTTTGAAATGAAATGACCAGGATTCGTCTGTAGAAATTTACTGGGAGTGAAAGAACTCGACTTAAAAAGCTTCACATTCGTCTCGGCCTCCAACTCACCGATACGAGCATTTAGATTATCAAAGGAAAACAGTCACCTTTTGTCAACACAGCCATCTTCTATTTCCTTTTTAGATACCAGGCGTCTGAAAGGTAGCCAAGTATATTAGTTAAGTGCACTGCCCCCAAATGTATACTGACATTACTCACAAAGCAAACCAACTAGTTTGCCAGCTGGCATACCAAGTAACACAACAAGGAGGCAGGAATACCAGGTCAGACCACCGGGGATTCTAGGTCAGATCATCAGGGGCCACAGGCCAGACTATCAGAGGCGCAAGGTCAGATCATCAGGGGTACCAGATCAACCATCAGGGGTACGACATCGAATCTGGTACCCATCTCCTGGTGGCCTGACCTGGTAATTCTGACCCCAGTAGTCTGACCTGGCGTACCTGCGCACTGATGGTCTGATCACCAGGAGTGCCAGGTCAGACCATCAGGCACAGGAGTACTATGTCAAACAACCAGGGGCAGGGGTACCAGGTCAGAACACCAGGGGTGCCAGGTCAGACCAGGTGGCAGTAGCGGTGCCACGTCAGACCATCAGCAATGGGGTTACCAATTAACAATATCAGATGACATGAATACCAGGACAAACCACTAAGGGCGAGGGTACCAAATCAGATCATCAAGGGCAGGGGAACCAGGTGAGAGCATCAGGTGCAGAGGCATCAGATCCTACTACCATGTGACACAGGTACCAGGTCAGATCACCTTGAGGCACCAGTATTATGCCTCCAGGGGTGCCGGTACCAATTCACACTACTAAATGATGGTGGTACCAGGTAAGGCCACTAGGAGGAAGTAGTGCCAGGTCAGACCATCCGGGGACAGAGTACCAGGAGGTAGGAGTACCTGGTCAGACATTCAGGGGCAGTGGTATCAGGTCAGGAACCCCTGACCTGGCACTGCTGCCATCTGATGCATCAAAGGGGCCGCTTGAATAGAGGGTGCCTCCTAACCCAGAACAGGGTCAGTTCACAAACCATATTCTTGCCACCTGCCTGCCGGCAGGGGGAAGGGAGAGGGACAGCCCCCCCCCCCCCCCCCTCTGCCACTGCTGCGTCGTCCCTGGTTGACAGCACCCTGATCTTGACTCACACCTCCAGTCTCTGGCTGCACATCCTTATTTACGAGCAGAAATTACTTAACTGGATGTGTGGCTTGATTTTATGTGCTATCAAATAGGCACACACCTCCAATCCTCGTGACTGGCGCACCGCATCTGCCCACGCCCACCCCCCAAGATGCCCGGGGCTCATAAAGGTTGCGCGGTCTCGTGTCGGTATGTACGCGGTCGCAAACGCGGGGCGAGTGCGCATGCGCAATCGTGACGTCATACATCTGACTCGGCGTATACAGATGTGCAGTTGTGTGTCAATCAACTCGGATGTGACGTGATTTACACAGAATGGCCGTTTTCAGTAAATCGACTCATGAGCCGATATACACGCTCCCTTTCGCAATATCAGCAAAGGTTGGACCTGTCAAAATTATCAGGGTGGACCAGACTGTTCATCAAGGAAGGATTACGTGATAACGCGCCCCGGGGTGTAGCCAGTGGAGGGGCCTGGCCCATCTCCCTCAGGCCCGCACCTTTCATTACACCATAGGTGCCCCCTGATAGTTAGAATTTGGTGTAATACGTTTTCACGAAGTTCCCTCTCTCCCCTATAAGCAAATCCCGAATGCGCCACCCGTGATGATGCCACCAGATAGGCACAAACTTGAATGAAACATAGTATACGATATGCAAGATTCTTGGATCAAGATCTGCATTCTGTGTTAGGTGCTTTTGCTAGATTCATCAAAGCAAGATTTAGCTGGTAGATAGATAGGTTTTTACCCGCCTACCTGATTGACCAAATATGTAGTTTTGCAACATGAATTAGAGGGAGGGGGTAGTGTGACGGCTAAACAGTGAAAAATGAAACAACCGGCCAACAAAATTTATCGACACGCAGGTTTATTCTGATGTTTGGTCGATTTTTATTTCAAAGTTAACCTGCTGATCTTTCCCCACTCTCGTAGCTAAATCATTCGTTCGTCTCTGTTACCTTCTTTGTAATGATGCAGATACAGATGACCCAAACCCACAGTTAAATTAGTACATCGCATGGTCACATGAAAAGTCTAGCTTTACTGCCCAGAGTGTAACTTCGATATCATCACATAAACGTAAACTACATCATCAACCTACCAGCAGCTATTACTGCACGTCGTTGTCAGAGGCACGAGGATGCAAATGGCGTCCAAAATCCCGTGCCTCACCTGTTGGTACCAGGCGTTCAGCACGCCATAAGCGCCGTCATGTGGCAGCGATGCCCAGCTGGGATTGCCGTCGAAATCGGACCCTAATGTAAGCATCGAGTCGACGTGTTTTTCCCCGTCAATTTTGCGTAAGGTTCTGCCGCTTTGAGCCCTGAGACTAAATCGATGTAATATCATAAAAAAAACACTTGTGATAGCATCACTTTGCCGCTTTTGCCAATCCTGCAATCATGCTAGATCAGTGCAATCATGTGCAGTCCTGCAATCATGCTTGACCAGTTCAAAAACCGGGAGCTAAAATGACATAGCAGCAGATGGTCGGGTAGTTTCATAATACCTCGTGTGAAGCCGACCAGCATGAGGTTAATGGTCAATCACAGCTGCCAGCCACGCGTTAAATGCTTTATTGACGAATTACTGCCCTGGCTGCTCCAGAATGTTGCCTGTTCGATCATGATTCGCACATGTTGGCCTCGCGCACACCACTATGTGACCATCTGGAGGGTGTCACCGGCCCGCTGACGCCCTGCTAACAACAGACGCCCCGCGCGGTGGCGTCCAGACGTCGCCTGCGCCGGCAGCGGCGGCCCGTCGACATCGCCGGGACGGAAATAGTGCGGCGGCCGGGCCGGTGGGTGGCCCACGTCGCTGTCGCCGCTCCACCGCACTGGAGACAGACTCCAGGATGGCGCACGTGCGGGTGGCCGTCCGGGTCCGGCCGCTCAGCTCCAGGTGAGACGTGCCGGGTCGGGTAGGGTGAGCGGTTGAGAAGGGGGAATGGGTAGAGCTCGGCGAGTGAATGGTGCGGGGCGAATATCAGCAGCATCCCGCGAGGGTAGGTAGAGTTGGCGACGTCCGCTTTGATCTGGTAAGGAGCGTGGAGAACGAATATAGTCTAGTCCAGTTAAGTGTACCACCGTTGAGGACGAAGTCGGCAAATGAGGGCTTTCGTTGAGCTGGGCGGAGCTGGGTTGAATACGCTGAATGAAACCTGCTGCTAGAACACGGTGTGGTGACGTTCTGTTTGGTGAGACTGTTTGTTCAGGTGTTCGCCCTACCACTGACTTCCGGTAGAGCCCTCTGCAGAATCTGCTCTCACGGAGACGCCTGACGGCAGTCCGACGCTCAACCCCCCCCCCCCCCCCTCTTCCCCATCAGGAAGCGGAACGTTTTCTGAGAGATTGTTCGTTATTAGTGAACGGCACAAACAACATGTTCACCGCCCTCCACACTCTATCCTCGATCCACAGAGAGAGGAGAGAGGGGGCAAAGATAATCGTTAACGGAGACGACAGGAACGTCACCATACAGGATATCCGAGTGAGTATAGCGCTTTCTGTGCGCACCCCGCGTCATGAAATGTTGTGGACTAGCATGCGTCTTTGGTTTTAATCTATAATCTGCAGTGCGTGCTCTGCGGATCACGGGTCTGCGAGCACCACGTTGAGCTCACGCGTTGAGCAGTCTTGTGGCGTATATGAATCATATTGGAAGTGTTTTACACATAAATTGGTCGAAAACTCGTTGGATATGATTTTTCTTTTGGTCGCGAAGTGTTCTTATTTCTAAGCCATTCTGTTCAAAGAGAGGTTTTCATATTTGTATCAAGGCTACTAGAGGAAAATGCTACACAGACGTGACGTCACCATGGAACTAAAGTTTGGTAGCCAGTAGCATGGCTTTTGATTAATTTTATGAAAAGCTTTGTAGATATTGGCAACATGATAACAAACGAAAATTTCGCCAATGAACAGCGCAGCAATCTTCCTCTACATGTTTATTTTAATGACATGTGAATAGATATTGTACGTTATTGCATTTCATGCCTTTAAAGACAAATCGATACTAGGATCTCCTTCCAAAAAAGTCCCACTTACCCATGTTTTCTATCTCCAGCACCCACGCCATATTCGTCGTGGTCAGCGTGCATGAATAGCTATACGCATTGTCTTTTAAAGAGGAATATGTAGTTGTATGTCAATAAAAAACTATCATACGTGATGTTAACTTAAACTTATTAATGGACAAAGATGACCAATATGTATTCGTAATGCAGTTCCAATCTGGAGTGAAATATGAAAATAAGGTAATTTGAAGAGAGCAGGTCCCGAGATAGGCACGTCCGACAGCCAAGCTATTGTGAACTTTGCTGCTTATTTATGTATTTTTAAGTGTTTGAGACTGCAACCAACAGTATGATTCATATGAAGTACTGGTTTAAGCTTTAACGAACCAACTTCTCGGTAACAAGTTCTTACCCGCTGAACCAATCACAAACGTTCTTTTATTCGCACAAGGAGAGGTGCGCACGGTCGTTGTCATGATGACAGTGGTGCCAAAGGAAGAAGCGAACACGCGCTCGGTTGGAGGGTCAGATTGACCGCCTACCCCCGAAGGTATTTCCGGAATGGTCTTTGAACGGCGCGGCATGGTCACGTCAAATTTTGCATAGCTATAGACAATTAAATAGCAGATTGTCTGGGATCAAACATCTAAATGCGCCTAAAAAGGCCGCTGACCTGCAGTAGGTCAAAGTCTGGCCATGATTTCAGCGAAGGCAATTTTAGGGGGAATCGCTCAATCTGATGCAACACCGGAATTCGTACAAGTTATACATCTCTAAGATACTTTTTTACGCAACACAACAATTTGATGAACAAATTAAATTGACCCAGAGTCAGATACGAAGTTCAGACCAGCGTCAAAGCTAACCTGCTTCATTGCTATAGGACTTGCTGTATGGGGTAGTTTCTGGTGTTCGCTTCGAATTCCTTGATATCAGGAACCGCATTAAACGCCTACTGTGGAATTCTTAAAGACCGGAATAGGTCGCTGACCTAAACTGATTTAACTCAACATTTTGTTTTTAGGAACATACTGCCTAACGTAACATTTGACGCTTATTCAAATGCAAAACTCAAAGTAGTCTTAGATGACCTTTGTCACCATGACCTTCAAAAGTTCATATAACGCTACCGACCTTAAATAAGGATGTGACCTTTTGCTTAGAACAGTTAGCTAGGCTTTAGGGGCCTTTTGGAGTCCAACTTTGAACTGAACTTGTTTGACCTTATTTGACCCGTGGGTCATGACCTAGGAATCTTTACGTGTGACCTAAGTAAGGCCACGTACAGGTTAACACACCCTGTGAATTTTGTGTTTTTAGCTCTCTTACTTCTTGAGATCTCAGCGGGGGTCAAATTCACATCAAATTGACGTTCAGCTCAACAGCCACAGGATTTGAAGCCTTAAAAAGGACATAGTTGTGACCTGCAGGTCATGCTCATGAAAGTAGCTATCTCAGTAAGGGACAATTGGGGACAAATAGCGAACGCATAAGCGACTGGAACCCATCCCACCACATGTCTATGAATAGGAAGACAAACACTCTCGCCAGCTGAGCTACCGAGACGGTCGTAAATACAGCTCGGCATTGTATCGTCCATCTGACAGCTCCACAAAAAGGGGTGGGGAGGACATATTTTGTGTGGTGCGTTGCTGAGGAAATATTGAGGTGGTGTTGATTAACTATTGCGAAAAAACTTGACTGGGAACACAGTTTCGAAACGTCAATTTTCCTCACTAGGCCTTTTTTGCAGCGGTGTATAACCATTACCTCCGTGTCTACTGTAGGTGAGCTATTTTCGTCACGAGAACTCCCAACTCATGGTCCAGGAAAACTAAGATTCAGAGTATTTCTTGCCTATATCAAATTCCAACACATGTCAGATCGTTGGCCACGCTATTTTTTGAGACAGCCATTCTGGAAATCAATAGAGCTCCGGGTTTTGCCTACTCGGCCCTTCCAGCTATTGACATATCCGTTGGGAATGTCGTGCAGCTTTAGCTTTATTTTTGTATGTCGGTGCATGGCGGCAGTGTGCTAGAAAATTGTCTGAACCGTGCGTATCAGCTCACGACATTCTATGCGAAACCGTTTTTCGCGTCTTAGGCCACATTCAATGAAAAAATAATTTGTTTGCTGGCTTCTTTGAGATGCAATACAGGCAGGGTGATTACATAAACGTCAGAGATGCAATACAGGCAGGGTGATTACATAAACGTCAGGGTAGTAGGCACCAGGACACAATTTTTTAACGACAGCAATGAGCAATGAACGGAGTCAAGTGTCTTAGTTGCCAGCAGACCCACTTCAGTTTCGTTGTGCCGCTGGAGCACCAGCGCTGTATAAATTGCCAAATTTGTTGACATTTATACGCTATTGATGACGCTATTCTTAGTTGCTATTTCAGCTGAAAACACTTACACTGTGACAACACGTTATCAACATGTCATTGAAGGGCTTAAGGGATTACCAAATTTGAGCGACTTATTTATTCACTGAAATTGACATGAGGTTACCAGGCCAGTGCCAGTTTCAAACCCAATATCTTTTGGCATGAATTCTGCCGTCCAAGCTGTTGTCCTTGGGTTAAGGCTATTTCCGATCTAAGATGACCTGAACAGTTTCTAAACGCGTTTTCCAGGTGCCGGAACATCCGGGCTGCGACCACCGGGCCCGCTACAAACATTTTCGCCTGGACGAGTGCTTCTTCTCAGACGGTGAACGTGCTTCGCAGCAGGAGCAGGTAAGGGTGGCGAAAGGCATGACATTTTCACTGCGAACATATTACGCATCCTAATAGACGTTACGGGTCGTGCTTGATGAAAGCAATTGACCTGAAAAAGCTGCGGTAAATAGCTATTGCTTTTAATGATGGGACAGCAAATTTTGAAAGTTTGGTGATAATTTGCGAACCGTAACCACCGACTGCTTTCTTCACTTCTGGCACTGCTACACAACGCATCCTTTGCAAATTATTTTGTGGTGTGTAAAACATTTCATGCAGCAATGATTTGAACTTGTTCTCGATGGGAAGCTCTTAAAAACGAATTTGACGTTAGGCAGAACATCTTAACCTTGTTCCGTGCACGATGTGTTCTGGTACGGTAACGTGGGAGGGAGGAGGGGGGGGGGGGCAGATTCTACCCCTCTCCCTGATATTTCCATAATCACTGGTACGATTGCCTCCCGGAATTGTATCGGAAACGGGAAATTGATTCCTCGTGATGTGCGGGCCACAGTTCTCCTCCGTGAGGCGCCTGTTGCAGTGTGGGAAGAGCCATGTGACACAAGGAGTGGTTATTATTATCATGCACATGATGCCCAGCACAAGCGAGTGGTGCCCGCCTTTAAAAACTCATAGGACAGGACTCATCAATACATTCGAATGCCCGATTTTCATCATTTTTATTAATTTAGCAGGGAAAGAAACGGTGATGTTAAGTGGCCGCACTTTAAATGCATGTGACTCGATTATTGGCTAACTTTGGACCGCAAAGACTTGTGAGTTAAGTACTTGGTAGTAAGTGGTAATCAGTAAGCGACAAGATGAATGCATTCACTAGGGTTTGCCATGTGTGATAAGTGTGAGCACAAAAATGTTTAACGAATGAGGTTAAGGTCAACTACGCAAAACCCATTTTTTCAGGGCCTAGCGGTCTGAAATTGACCCGAAAAATTATTTAGTATCTAGACGTTTTGGGGCTCGCCTTTGTAAAAATTGCCTCTTGCCTGGACCTACGGCAAGAGTTGGTCTCTTCTTTGTTTGAGTGGAAAATGGCCTGCTTTAGATCCATTGGTCCAGCCCACGGGAGGCCGAAAATGTGGCCCACTACAAAGCCGACGAACAGTTGTGCGAAACCGGGGCGGGTGGCGGGGAAACAAGTAGCTCCGACATATCCAGCATTTTGTCCAGCTTCAGCGAGACCATAGCAGGTTTTTTGCAAGAGTTCTCTCCCCTCTGCGGCTCAGTGTGATGAGTAGGTTCATGTTTGTTGTGGGCACGCCCAGCCGGCCCGGCGGCACAGCATGCTGTCCCTGCCGTGTCGCGGTGCGGCCTCGGCCGCGCGGTGGAATGCGGCCGGTGGAACCTACCGCCGCGGGCGCTGACCGCCGTCCCGTGGCGGACCGCACGGGACGCGCGATAGGTGCGTGTATGCAAGCTGACTTATGAGTGGTGGTTCACCCGAACTAAATGTTATGTCGTGCCTGCCTGAGATAGCAGGGACAGGACGCCACTGGACTCGGTCCAATACAGATCGCCGCGTCTGACCGAGCTGAGCTGAACCGCTGGACGAGGACATCACATAGCGCAGCCGACAGTTGAATCTTCTGCGAGAAGCTCTTGATACTTCTACTCTGCATGGCCTACAATCTTCGATCAATTTGCAAGATGGGTAACACTGAAGAGGACACTGAAGAGGACACTGTACCACCGTGGCTGACGAAGTTGTTGGACGGCCCTCAAGACCAGCGCCGGCAAGATCTCCAAGAGCAGCAAGAACAACATCGGCGTGACCTCAATCTACTCTGGTCAGAGATACAAGATATACATCGGCAGCTAACGCTCGTAGAGACTCCGGCATTTGAAGCAATCGGGCGGGATGCCCGGTGCAATCTGCCGCTGACGTCCACTGGTACCGCTACTGTGGAACCAAGGGCTCCACTAGTACCACCGAGCTCGGATGCTCCACTACCATCAACAACGGCACCTTAAGTGGATGCAGCACCACCAGCAACAACGGTTTCCTCAGCGAGATCGCTGATGCCTTACGGTGCCGCAAGACCACCCACAGTAACACCGTCAGGCAAGCTCTCCTTTCCACCATTCTACGCGAATTCCGAGCATGAAAGTCATCTTGGAACGATTACAGCAGGCTTTGCTATCTCACCACCTTCAGTCGCGAAGACCAGCTGGCGTGCCTGCGCTCAGGCTTCACTTAAGACACGCGTGCAACATCTCAGCACGCTATCGGCATCGACGAGGAGTCTGACACGGTTCAGTCAGCGTTGGACAAGATAGAACATCATCTTCGCCAGCAGTGCAGCATCGCCATCGACCAGGTGAATTTTGAAGAGAGGCGACAGGAGGATGGCGGGACCTTTGATGCCTTCTTGGTTTCAGTGAGAAAGCTGGCCGCTGATGCTGAATTATGCAGCACACGCATGGACCAGCGTCTCACTACCCGCATCATGTCAGGACTTTGCAACCAAGAGATCCGGCGCAAGCTTTTGACACTGCGCCCATTCCCGTCACTGGAGCAGGTCATCGACATGTGTCGTTCCGAGGAAGCGGCTCGGGCAAACAATAAGGTGCTACAAAACGTCATCAACAGAAGTCACAACGTGTTCAGCATCTCCAACCACCGTGATCAAAGTCAACGTAGCCCTTTGCGAGGGCGCTCAGGCCCACCATGCGGACGCTGTGGCGAGTCCAGCCATATGAGAGGAACATGTCCTGCAGCGGACCAAGCGTGCTTTTCTTACGGTGTCAGGGGACAGTTCGCCATTGTCTGCCGTAGAAGGCTCTCGTCCCAGCAACTACAGGCTGAGCCTGACGCATCATGGCGATCACGCAGCAGACAGCGTTACCCGTCACACCAGGCAGCTGTTCCCCAAGTCTACGTCAGCAGTCTACATCGCAGTCTACAGGCCCCCAAGATTGCCATCAAGCTGGAAGATTCCAGCGGGACGTTCTTCGGCAGCATCAACGCAACCCCATACTCGGTGGCTGAGATCAGACCAAGCCGCCAAGCATCGACGTCACAGCTGCCAACGGACAGTCCATGCACTGCATCGACACCTTCAAGGCCATCATTCGCCTCAACGAGAGGGCAGTCGAAGACACAGCCTTCGTCTTCAATGAGTCACGGGGACTTCTGCTCGCCTGGTATACGACCAAGAAGCTCGGCATCTTCCCAGACCACTACCCACAGCCCGCTGATGACTTGCAGACCCGGAGCGCAAGCAGTCACTGCGTGTCGTCAAAACGCTCAGCGAAGAACACCGACCAACAACAACAGCAGAAACAGCTCCGCAGTGACATTCTCAAGGAGTTCGCCGACGTCTTCACATCTGATGACAGCAACGCATCCCTTTAGCCGATGGCAGGCCCACCAACGGTCATTCACGTCACAGAAGATGCCAGACCTTTCTCAGTACGCGCTGCCCGCCCTGTGCCGTACGCATGGAGAGACAACGTGAGGAGCCAGCTGGAAGAAATGGTTCGACAGGGCATCATCACCCCTTTGGGTGACGAGCCATCGGATTGGTGTCATCCACTGGTGCTGGTCACAAAGTCTGATGGAGGAGTGCGGATATGCGTTGACCTCACCAAGCTCAACAAGTTTGTAAAAAGGCCTCTGCATCCACTCTCTACTCCAAGAGAGGTCGTGTCTGGTATCCCCGTGAGCGCAAAGGTCTTCTCCACGCTGGATGCCAAGTCAGGATGCCGGAGCTCCTTCCTCAAGAAAGCAGCCAACACCTCACAACGTTCATCACCCCCTAGGGGCGCTTCAAGTTCCTCCGAGCGCCCATGGGCCTGTTCTCAACAAGGGACGAGTACTGCCGACGTGGAGATCAGGCTCTCCAAGATCCGGACCATATCGTCAAGATGGTCAACGATATACTTGTCCACGATGAGACATTTGAGGACCGCGCAGACCGTCTACGAGCTGTTCTCACACAATGCCGCCAACATGGCATCACGATCAACGAGAAGAAGTTCTGCTGCGCGCAGGAAGAAGCCTTCTTCCGTGGCTTCAGCCTGTCTTCAGTCGGGAAGGAGATCGACCCGGGCAAGGTCACAGCCATCACCAACTTCCCAACGCCAACCAACATCACCGAGCTGTGGTCTTTCATGGGCCTCGTTCAATAGTTCGGGGACTACTCCATCGAGATGTCATCCGCTGCAGACGCACGTCGTGGTTTACTGAAGCCTTGCAACGCTTTCGTGTGGACACCGGATCACCAGACAGTCTTCAACGACGTCAAGAAGACTCTGGCATCACTGCCTGTGCGGGCTCATTACGATCCGCATCTTCCGACGGCTCTTCAGACCGACGCTGCCTGTCTGATAGGGCTCTGATACGCCCTGCTACAACAGCATGGTGATCGCTGGCGCCTAGTCCAAAGTGGGTCCAGGTTTCCCTCTGACACCGATTCACGCTACGCAGTGGTGGAGTTGAAGCTTCTGGCAGTGGCGTGGGCCCTGAAAAAGTGCCGCATCTTTTTGCAGGGCCTGCAACACTTCAAAGTCATCATCGACCACCGGCCCTTGATACCGATCTTGAACGACTACACCCTGGATGCCGTGGAAACCCCACGTATACAACGTCTGAAGGATAAGACCAGTCTCTACAACTTCACAGCTATCTGGCAGAAAGGCGAAGACCATGTCATCCCCGATGCACTGTCACGTGCTCCTGCTGAAGAACCGACGCCTGAGGACAACCAGCTCGTCCAGTCTGTGGAGCACCATGTCCATCGCTTGTCCATCGTCACCATCAGTGAGGTCTCAGCCCAGCAGGCGCCAGCTCATCTCCCAGGCCCAAGACTCGATGATCTCGAGAGGACAGCACAAGCCAATGAAACCTACCAACAACTTCTGGTGGCTGCATGCCGTGGTTTCCCATCCTCCAAGGAGATGGTACCACGTTCCTTACTCCCATTTTGGAACGTTTGCCACGAACATTCATCCCACGACGGCCTAGTTCTGAAAGGCTGCCGCATCCTCATTCCGCATGGTTCCCGGAAGGTCACCATGAAAGCACTTCACGACGCCCACCAGGGGATCGAGCGCACCAAACGACGAGCACGCCAAACTGTCAGGTGGCCCGGCATGAACAGCGACACCGCCAACACTGTGGGCAACTGCAGTACCTTCCAAGAGCTACGTCCAAGTCTGCCTCAGGAACCGATGGCCACCGAACCGCCGCCATCGAGGATCTTTGAAGATGTTTCTTCCGACCTCTTCTCTCACGCGGGCATATATTTCTTCGTCTACGTGGATAGACTGTCTGGCTGACCAGTTGTCTATCAACTCCCACGGGGTGACACAAAAAGTCGTCAGATTATCAGAGCCCTCCGAGCTCATCACAGCCTTGATCACCGGGTCTTTGCCACTGCATTCGCAGTGCGCACTCACCTCCCCATCCCCCCCCCCCTGATACATTTACTCCGGCTCAGACCGTCCACATTTGGTGGGGGGGGGGGGGGGGGGGGCAGCCGGCCGCGATGGAGCGCCGCGCGCCCGGTCGTCGTGCGCCCAGTCGAGAAATACCAACTGGCTCTCTGCTCGCCATTATTAAAGTAATGCATTTCATTTGCCTTGCTTTTCCAGCGATTATTGTGTGATGTTTGTAACACACTAATGTTCAAGCATGTTTGTGTAATGAGTGCTGCAAAAGCTTGAAACGCTCTGTGAAGAAAAGAAGATATGCGAACATAAAACTGCTTTTCCGCGAATTCAACGAAACGTTATACTCTGGCTTTTATTGCTACCATATGGAGTCTGCTACCGTGGCTCTTATGGAGGCACACTTAGGATTTTGGAATGGGAGTATCAGATGGTCCATAGTGACGCACTGGTTGAAACTTCAGCCAGTGCTCTTCCTGGTAACAGACCCTTGTCACCCACAGGGACAATGAGAAACGTTCACACGTTCACACCAGCGGAGGTGCATTTGCTAAATAACTGTGATAGTATATATATATATATATATATATATATATATATATATATATATTATATATATATATATATATATTATATATATATATATATACATATATATATAGATATAGATATAGATATAGATATAGATATATACCTACATCCACGCGCCAAATCCGTGAACTCAGTATAGAATTTCGGAGGCAAAATTCGAGTGTAGATACCGGCGTATATATATATATATATATATATATATATATATATATATATATATATATATGTCTATCTATTATCAAAGGTGTGCAGCAAATTTGCTCCTCAATTACTCATCGTTTGAATGCGTCATGGAGCGTTTGCAAAATAACACTCACTTATAGTTTTTCGACCTTCCGAGAGATGGCAGCACGGACTGGAAGTGTTTGCTGAGCGAAGAATGGTGTGTGTAAAACAAGGACACCAAAAAAGTTTTGTGTCATTCAAATTCCGGCATGCCCCGACACAGAGTTATGTAGGGCAAGAATGCGCAAAAATATTCACAGCTGTCGAGGCGCAGTGAACGGGAAACCAAATATATGATGTATGATTCACAGAACAAAAACTGTTATTGGTTGTCTCCACGACAAAACGTTGGGCTGGCAAGCACCTTCAAAAAGAATATTTTGGTACATATCAATCAGTTCCATGAGTGGCACACGCACGACGCATAAGAGTAATCGCTGAAATGGACTGTACACAACAATATGGCCAGCAGAACACCAATGCAATGTTGATATTCCCCATCATGACCTGAGACATGATCGCCACTTTAGCATATATAGTAAATTGAATTGACACTGCCATTTAACATGCAACTAAATGCTACACACGCGATATTTTGGGACTGTAATTTATAGTGCTTAGTTTTCAATTAAGTTTACAAGCTCTTTAAGCCATTAAAATCCCACAGTAATGCAGCCCCTGCCGCCAAAATACAACTTCTGGCACTCATTGCTTTATCACGAAGGTGTCAAAAGGGAGAAAGCAGTGTTTATGATAACCGCGACGAAGCAGGACGCAGTAAAATATTTGGCATAACTGATTTACCGAAACTGTTGGGAACACATGCAAGATTCACATATAAATGGTTTAGTGAATGAAATAGACCATAAACATAAAAACGTAAACAATATGACAACTCTTATCAATTGTGCGCGACACGATTTATTCAATATCAAATTTGATACAAAATTTGAGAGGGTGCAGTCAGTTAAGCAAAAATCTATGTTTTTCCGTAGCGTGGCGATGACACTTTTTGGATCCGGAGTCAACATGCAATTTCAGGATGTCCTTTTTCATTTTGTCGAAGTAGTTAGTAGACAAGATTCACACGCGTAGATATTGGCTTTCTGACCAATACATTTACAAGACATGTTTTCCTAAGCGTCTTATCCGAATCGTTCGATGAATTTATGGAGTCATCACAACGCTACTCACCTTTTGTGTCGTAGCCATCATTGTACAATCCGTTCGTGAATTTCGCGTCAGCGGCAGACATTTTCGGTGAAAGCTTAATGTACCACAGTGCTAAGCATGGTCCGTCTCCTAGACTTAGGTCCGATTCGACGGACTGGATCCCAATCCTTTCGTCCATCCGGGTTTGTCAAAGGTCTGCCTCCAATCCGGTCTAGTGCGACTAGGGAGAATACCCTGACTAAATCCGCCCCAATATGCATGCAAGGTTTCTCTTGTGCCGTCATAGGTAGACAAATACAGCACTTCTGAGCACATTTTATCGTTCCCTTTGACAAGTTTCATATCAATATTCTGACTGGCTGCGGAAACCAGCATGCCATAGGTCAGCTTGAAGCACTCAGATCTCACTCGCTTGAAGCTGTTAGATCCTCGGAGCTATGATTCCACAAATAAATTGTGTATCATGGCTTGCATCCTGCTTACGCAACACCTTTGGGGCACTGATGTTTTTCCAAACCTAGGCCCTGAAGGCATGTTGCCCATCCCCTCCGATGTCCATGAAAGTTAAGGTATCTGCAAATTCACGGGCATGCCCATACCGACCTTATGGTGACTCTGATAATGATCCGCACAACAGCCCCTCAGTATTCAGTTTCCGAAAAGTTGATATCTGCTGTTGGCGTTCATGTACTCGTAATGTACTTATTCCGATAATATTTGATATGCTTATTGCCTTAGCAGATGGGCGAGTCGCACTATTTGAAGTAGCGTTTATGTGACGTCGTTTATTATCGCCGTTTTCTTCTCTATGTGGCGCTGGGTAATGTCCCCCGGAATCTTACTTTGTTATGACGTCTGCTTAACGACTAATTAGCGCCGACTTCCTGCCTTCAGTAAGGGTTCGAGTCGGCCGTTTGCCATTCGTCTCATCCTCATAACATCTTATGAGTATCCGGTCACCAATGCTTATAACGTTTGCTTTTTAATAGCGCATTTGCATTGCCATTTCTTTATTGATTTACACATACGCACATCCCATTTAAGGCTTTTTGACGCGGAATTGGTGAAAGTTTATACGTCAGCTGGTGTATCGGTACATCAGATGACGGGATGTGTTTTTGATCATTTGCAAGTCGATCATTCGGATAGATTCACACGATGACAGTGTGACCCAATGGGCCCATCAAACATCAAGGTCTAGAGAGCCGCGTAGTAAACGATAGCCCAGCTGTTCTACTGTCAGGCACACGCTGACTGTTCCGTGGGCGCCGGAGCTGCGCTCAGACCGGAGCTGTGCTCAGACCGCTCTTGCTCCGTTTATCGTGAAGTCGCTTCGCCGAACCGGGGGCGATCCGGCGTGTTTGGCCGAGGCGAACTCGTGGAATGGGGGGAGTGGTCGGAAAGGTAGGAAGAAGGTACCATTGGCGGGGGGCGGGGGGGATTCGAGTCGCTTCCGGTGTTTACTATTTGTGCATGACTGGGTCCCTTGTCTGGTGCAGCGGCCACACCGACGGTCAGGTGATGTCAGAGGTCAGTGTGGGTCGCACCGAGCACTACGGCACGTCAAGCTTTCGCCGCAAAATTTTGCCGGTCACCAGCCATTTCACGATTGGATAGTTAGCGCAGTGGTCACGCAACAGGCAGTGCTTAGCGTGGGCGTTCACACCAGAGAGGCATCCAATCAACAGGTTCGGACTCGATGTTGAATGAGTCATGGCCATAATGCACTACAATTCGGCACACACCAAGGCTTGACCATTCACTTGCCTTGCCGTCCGATGAACACGTGTTCCGTCATCGCCGCTCTGTTGTCAGGTTTACGCGTCGCTGGGCCGTCCACTCCTGGACGATGTGCTAGCCGGTTACAATGGCTGCTTGCTGGCCTACGGCCAGTCCGGCTCCGGCAAAACATACACCATGCTCGGTAACCCGGTAAGTTCACGTGGGCAAGCAGTGATCAGACGTTGATGCCAGAACAGCCGACCGATTGTAGCAGAGTTTCTTCCTTCACCTCCCGCTCCGCTCCCGTTCCGCTCGCTCCCGTTCCGCTCCTCTCTCGTTCCGCTCCGCTCCCGTTCTGCTCCGCTCCCGTTTCGCTCCGTTCCCGTTCCGTTTGCTCCCGTCCCGCCCCGCTCTCGTTTCACCCCGCTCCCGTTCCGTCCGCTCCCCTCCCGCCCCGCTCTCGTTCTGCTCCGCTTCCGTTCCGCTCCGCTCCCGTTCTGCTCCGCTCCCGTTCTGCTCGCTCCCGTTCCGCTCGCTCCCCTTCCGTTCCCGTTCCGCTCGCCCGCTTCACTCCCGGAGCGAGCCGGCCTTTAGGCCACGGAATCTGCGGTCCGTGACCCCCGGTCCCAGCTCATCCTACGGCCGTGGCTTTGCCAAGGCCGCCTATTAACACGGCCGGAATGGAGTCGTAAAGGGGGATGAGCCAGCGGGGCGAGCTGGTTCATGGTACGGACGCGATACGACAAAAGCCCCAGCCGACCGCCGACGCCCCGCTCATGATTACTGGATAGTTATACGGAAAGTTCCACGGCATCGATTATTCGCCACCAAAGAGCCGCGCTACATGTCAAAAATCGTTGGCCGGTCGTTCAGTCAGAACGGTGAGCGTCGAAACTGAGGCTTTCAGGTAAGGCAGAGATGGACGAGCTGCCGTGACCAGGTGTCTGTTCGTCGTCAGTTGGGCCGCGCGCCACGATAGCACGCACGTAATTGAACGCATTATGGCGACGGCAGCAGTGATTTGTCACGCCTGGCTGAGCCGATGAAAACCTCGCTTGACACGCGTCCGGGTGGGCGGTTGGATACCGTTCGCTCGGGTGGAGGTCAATTAAAACCTTCCGAGAACTCAGCAGTCTACGAGAGCTAAAGACACCGAGTTTGCGAGGTGTGTTTGCCTGTACGTGAACTCACTTGTGTCAAATTTGGGTTTTCTTTGTCATGACCTTCGGGTCTAAAAAGGTTAAAAAAATGTTAGAATCCGGATAGGTGTCCAATTGGCCCACACCCACTCATGCAACCACCGTGAACCTAGATATCTGTTCTAAGCAAAGTATCTGCTCATTTTAGGTCAGTGACGTCGTTTAACCTTTCAAGGGTCATGGTGAAAAAGATCATACGAGACTGTTTTGATTTTTGCATTTGAATGAGCGTCAAAGGTTACCCGAGGCAGCATGTTCCTGAAAACCGCATGTTAACTTGGGACATTTTAGAACTTACATCAGTCTTCAACAATTCAATGGAAGGCTGCGATCTGGTTCCCGTTGTCAAGAAATTCAAAGCGTGAGCAAAAACAACCCCATACAGCAAGCTCTAAGGAAATAAAACCGGTTGGTCTTGACCCTGGTCTGACTTTCATACCTGACCCTAGATCAATGAAATTGCGCATTCAATGGTTGCGTTGCCTAAGATGTCCCGATGTAGGGAAAGACAGACAGGAAATAGCATCCCTGAACCATCGACACTCTCCTTTTGTCAGGAATGTCCCGGTTTGACACCGCGCCTATGTCAGGAGCTCCTGCAGAAGCTGTCTGCAGCTGGATCCGAATGCACGATGAGCCTCAGGCAAGTATTATCTTGATAGCACCACACGACCCGCATGCACGCAGGCTTCATACTGCATAGCATTATCTGTAGCCTTTTCCTTGCTATTCAAGCCCGTCGTTGGCAGTAATGTGAGCTGATGTCATGGTAAGCTTGCATTTATGCGAGATGTCATGGAGAGCGCTGCTAAAGGCCATCTCACGCAAACCAGCACACCTGCTGTGGTCCAGCTTCAGCGAACAGGGTCTTTGCTCGCGGCAGAGTTGAATTAGAGGGTTGCAATACACCGCATGCTTTTTCCATCGCAAGGCCAGAACCAGTGATCATTACAACGTACTTTACTTAATTTAGGAGCACGGACTGACTTCGTTTATCCCATCCACTCCAGCTGCGTCGAGGTGTACAACGAGACCGTGCGGGACCTGCTCATGCGGCGGCCGCAAGGTCTGCGCGTCAGGGAACATCCCCAAACAGGGCCTTACGTGCAAGGTAACGCGCTGGGAGGGGGGGGGGGGGGCTAGGGCATTCGAAAAAGCTAGACAGTTTGCGAGCTCTCTTGGCAACTTTCGACATTTCGAAGTTATTTCCAAAGGATGTTTATATTCCAGATGCCACGTGAATGGCTGTAACCCCTGGGATATTAGAGGGAGGTTACAGTGAGTATGCGGCCATCGTATGGCTTTTACCTGTATTGATTCGTATGCATGTAAATAAAAACGGACAAACACGACTTTGAGTGGACCAGTTAATATCAGATATGTCAAAAACATGCCGTGGTGCATTAAACTTTGTCAAATGTCTTCCGCCTGCTGAGCGATAGCGTTTCTGAGAGTTTTTAATTCAGCCCCCCACCCCACACACACCCACAGGGCAAAATCTTTGCAAGCCACTGCCCAAACCGCTCCGTTCCTATACGTCTTGACTTTTACCGTTTGAAAGACCAAAACACTCCATGTAGTCAAGTGTTTGAAATGTGACACTTGCAACGAAAAACGCTTGCTGCTGTTGATTTTGCATCGCATTTTATTTTAGTACTGCTTCGATTCACTCGCCTAGCCCCTCAAGCTGAAGGCGCCGGGCTTATTTTTCACTAGCTTTGTCGTACCGTCGAACAAAGATGTGCCATTCCGACTCATTTACTGTTGTACGAAGTACTGCTACGACAGCGACTGGTACACTAGCCCGTGTTGAAGGGACTTGCACTGGCCCGCACATCTCCTCAGACACCAACATCTCAGGAATCCTTGACCCACCTCTCCAAACTCGCGGCGTGCCGCCTCTCTCACAGTCATTTCTTCATCTGGAACCTGATCGTAACGTAGGAAGTCCAGCACGGACCTACCTGTTCCTGCTCTAGCTCCCTGCCATTCACCCATGTTTTCTGTCAGGTACATGACAGTCGTCAAAGGGAGTGTTCCAGATCTGTATGGGATTTTGAGCTGAAACAGCCATCTTGAAGATCATCCGGTGCGGTTTACAATCGTACCATTCTGTTGAAGAGCAACATTTGGATAGCATGCCGATAGACCTTCAAACATTCATTGTGAGGCTCAATTATCAACTCGTCCTGGCCGGCATGTCCCATAACTATGTGACAATCGTTACAAGGGTCAGCAGTTCTTCACTCGTGGAGGATTTCCAGCCTCGTGTTTTTTGTTTTGTTTTTTTAGTTACCTTGAAAGGAATGCTCTGATCAATCATCGCCAAAGTTCTCACACAACGGTAGTGTTTACACATGGTGGACACTTCAATTGCATTTGGGTTCGGGGAGAACTCCATAATTTCCTCATAATCCTCATCTGGAACAAACAACTCATTTTCCTATAGCTTCTTTGAGCATCGCACGGGACATGGCGACAAACTCTCCATTAACGCTTTTCGTTTGTTTGCAAGGATATCATGCACCAGTTTTGGTAGTCTCAGCCTCTGGTCCAGAAATGTCAGCCGTTGTTGTATTCCCCGGGTCCTTGTTGCTGCCTATAGCAGCAACAATGCTCTTGGAAATGTACTACCATGCTGCAAAAATGACTACTGAATTGGTGGCTGTGTACAAATTGATTATGTATAGGAGCTGTTGGAGGGCGAGCATTGGTGGGAAAGACGTACAAATTGTGAAGTGCTAACAATATATAATGACACAATAGGAAAACCAGAGCAAGGGCAGAAATAGGTTGATAAATGGACCTAACAGAAGATGTTAGAAAACACTTGCAATTCTATGCACACACACACACACACACACACACACACACACACACACACACACACACACACACACACACACACACACACACACACACACACACACACACACACACACACACACACACACACACACACACACACCACACACACACACACACACACACACACACACACACACACACACACACACACACACACACACACACACACACACACACACACACACACACACACACACACACACACACACACACACACACACACACACACACACACACACACACACACACACACACACACACACTCGCAATGCGGATGGAATGTAATGACTATGCATATGCGTATGCACACACACGCGCACACAAACACACATGTATAAATATATATATATATATATATATATATATATATATATATATATATATATATTAGTATTGCATCCCCTGCAAATTCAGTGACGTCCATTCTAGTGGCGGTTGATATATGGGAGCGTAGCAGGGCGTGGCCCGGCACGAGCTGCAGCCTCACACGACACCCGCCCGTGCTCGGCAGGACTCGGCATGCATCTGGTGTCCTGCGCCGCGGAGCTGCGCAGCCTGCTGACGCGCGGCATGAGCCGGCGCCAGGTCGGCGCCACGCAGCTGAACGGCGCCAGCAGCCGCAGCCACGCGCTGGTCACGGTGTATCTGAAGCGACGCCATAGCTCTGGTTGTCGTGTTCAGTCAAAGCTGCATCTGGTCGACCTGGCGGGAAGGTAGGACGATGTGGGGTGGAGTGACTGAAGCCTCACTTAAATGCTTAAATGGTCCCAACAAATTAAGACGGAATGCAATATTAAACACGATGAGTTTCTCGAGCGTGGCATAAGGTTACGTTGGGTGCAGCAATCTAGTTAATGACTGCACAATTTTTTAAGCCAGATTTTGACAAAAAAGGTGCCTTCTGTCAAGTTTCTAACTTTTTTAATGAGTTGTGCGATACATTTTTCAGCCACAATCATTTAGAATCATCTGAGCATTTTGATCTGATGATCGGATAGCAATTTGCTATCGCACTTGGGAAATCTGTCTTTTTACATTCGCACCCCTCCCCCCTCCCCCTGCAGCGAGAGGGCTGATGGAGGCCAGCTGAGTCGGCGGCGGCTGAAGGAGGCGGCCTGCATCAACCGGTCTCTGGTGGCGCTCGGTAACGTCATCTCCGCCCTCGGTGAGTCGGCTCAGCCGGTGTCTGATGGCGCTCGGTAACGTCATCTCCGCCCTCGGTGAGTCGGCTCAGCCGGTGTCTGATGGCGCTCGGTAACGTCATCTCCGCCCTCGGTGAGTCGGCTCGGATGTCTGGCGGCACACCATGCACACATGATGCTGCATGTTGCATATATACTGCCTTTAAATTGTCCAGGTCATATAAAGAATGTTGTTCTATTATCGCAGGCTGGATCTTAGCTCGGCTTGTGTCACAACGCAAGAGCAATGCGTACGGGTGGGTGTCTAGATTAACATTGCCCATCTCGGCGGTCTCGGACATGAGTCGGCCAATGGCCCGCCAGCTGACCTGGTGGGTCACCTGACCCGGCGCCGGGTGACCTACACCATTACGCCTCCTCAAGGTATCCGCTCTAACATTAAGCGAACGTCTTTAAACGATAACCGTTACAAAGTTACAAGCACGTTACAAAGAAACTGAACTACAGAAACGACTCGCACGCTGCGTCCGCGCGCCATTAGTCATATGCGCTCGCGTCCCAGCGGACTTGCAGCCGCTACGGCCCGCGGCCCGAAGACCGCTGAGCCCCGTCTCACCGGTCTTCATGACGACCCCTGAGATGGGCTCGGCCGCAGGCGCCACCGTCTCCTGCCGGATGGGCAGTTTCTAGGCCGCACTGGGGGCGACAGGCAGCCGCGGCTTCACGCCGCTGGCCAGCATCGGGCGGTGCGGTCTGAGGAACCACCTGTTCCTCCAACACATGCGTCCACTTGATATCTTCATTGAATAGGTCCGTCGCTGTCATCCGCCGACGATGAGGCCGGTGCGATCCCAGTGGCCGGTCTCCGCGGTCTGTGTATCGACGCGGCTGCCGACGTGCAGTTCTGAGAGTGGGCGCGCTGAGGCTTCGTGGCGATGCCGTATGTCGTCACGTAAGTCAGCAGCTCTGGCGTCATACTCATCGGCGGCGCGCTGAGGCCTCGTAACGATCCCGTATGTCGTCACGTAAGTCAGCAGCTCTGGCGTCACACTCATCGGCGGCGCGCTGAGGCCTCGTAACGATCCCGTATGTCGGCACGTAAGTCAGCAGCTCCGGCGTCACACTCATCGGCGGCGCGCTGCCGCTCGGGCGCGTCTGCCCGGCAGTGGCCGGCACGCCTGACCGCAGCGGGTGGCCGAACAGTGTCCGGGACGGTCACCTGCCGTCGGCCGTCGCGTGGCGTGGTGCGTGGTTCGAACAGGCCTGGGTTGAGTTGATCGTCGTTCAGCCGTCCGCTAGCCGGCGAAGCGACGATGACCCCCTCACCGCCTTCACGGCGGCCTCGGCGCTTCCGTTGAACGCGGGGTAGCACGGTGATAACATCTCGTGGCGTAGTCCCCACCAGTTCGGGAATAGACGGAGCGTGGAGGAGGCGGACTGCGCTCCGCCGTCTGTCTACAGCACGACGAACATGCCCGCCTGGGAGAGCTGTCGCAGCTGCTTCACCAGGTTCACCTGGTGGTCTGCGGATGCCGTCCCGGGGCAGACCGTCACAAACAGCCAGCCCGACAGCCCGTCTACGTAGGCGAGGAACGTCCACCGATGGCATGAAGATAGTCTGCCGACACAGACTCGAAAATGCGGTTCGGGAGGTCGTCTCGCTGCCACAGCGGCTCGTTGCTGCAGCTGGCGGCGGGCTATCAGTTCTGGCGAGCTATCTGTATCTCCGCCTACGGCTCTCTGGCACGATGAGACAACCTTGAAGATGTCTTGGTCGATCTCCGGCCAGCACACGGCGAGCCGTGCACGGTGCTTGGTCCTCTCCATTGCCTGGTGGGCGTGGTGGAGACGAAGGAGGACATCGCGGCAAAGACTAGCCGGAATCACGACCCGCACCCCGTAGACGACGAGGCCGCCGTCAACATCCAGAATAGTACGGACTCCCAGTAGGGCAGCAGAGCTAGTTGTACTTCGCGCCGCTTCCGAGGAATCCCGCCTGATGGCTCACGGCAGGCTCAGTGCTTGGGATTTCGGGCGGCGGCTGCTCGGCGTGAGTCGAGAGTCCGGTCTTGAAGCGGCGCGATCCGAGCGCCATCTTTAGAGGTCGCGCACAGAGCAGTGAACATGGCGTCGTGCAGTGCGTCCGTTACCTCCACGAAGCCTCATCTCCCGGGGCTGGGTCGCAGACGGGAGAGCGTGACAGGACGTGCGAGATGCAGTGCGAATTGCCCTTCTGCCACACGGCAGTGAAGCTGTAGTTCAGCATCTTCTCTCGCACCGTTGATGACGAAAGATGTTGATCGCAGACAGCCTCATCGAATTCAGGATCGGGACGGGCGGTCGGTGATCTACGACGAGGTCGAAGTGTGGCAGGCCGGCCAAAAATATATGGCACTTGCGATCGGCTCACAGGCAGGCCAGGCATTCCAGCTCCACCACCGCATAGCGTGACTTGGTGTCGCTTAGGAAGCGGGAGCCACACTGGACGAAACACCGCGTACTTCCGTGGCTCTGCTGCAGGGCGATATCCAGACCGCGAGTTCGTGTAGAGTCCGTCTGGAGCATGGTGGGCAGCCGCGCATTAAAGAACGCCAGAACGGGTATCGCAAGCAGCACTTACGGATAGCGCTTTAAAGTCCTTAAAGGCCGCCTCATGTTGCACGGCCCATCAGTGGACTGCTTCAGCAGGTCTCGGAGGGGCTGGGCCGTGCTGACATCCGCTGAGCAGTCAGCCAGCTGATAAGAGAGCCCAAGGGACGACCTCAAGTCAGCCAAGTTCTCTGGACGCGGTCTGAGATCGCCCGAGGCTTGACGCCGTCGATCGTGTAGTCCTGGTCCGCGATCCGACAGCCGCAGCAGTCCAGCGACTGCCGAGCGAACTGGAACTTTCGCGGGTCGATCATGATATCTCTCCCGGCAGCATCTGAGGATGGTGACCGCATGAGAGAGATGGGCACGGTAGATCGCGTCTTGGACCAGCAGGTCGTCTACGGTCTTGTCGTCATCGGGATGTCGCCGAGAGCGATGGCGGTTGTACTCGTCTCCTGACGAGATCATGCCCATGAGAACCCTGAGGAACTTCATGCGGCCGCAAGGAGTGATGAAGCAGGTGAGATCCTGCGGCTCGCGCGATCAAGACCTGGAAGTAGCCCATGGCAGCGTCCAGGGTGGTCAGCCACCGCGCGTCTCCGTCGATGGACGCCACTGCGTCATGGGTCGGTCTGACGGGGTAGGCAGCTCTCTCCAACGAACCTATTGATGGTTGTTATGTCCACGACCAGCTTGGCTCCTCCCTGGCGTTTTGCGATCGGCACCATGGCGTGGCACCAATTTGTAGGCTAGTTTATCGGGGAAACGACACATCTTTATTATATTCCTATAATTTACTTGCTATGATGTCTTCAGAATCAGAGGAGTTTATCGCAGCTTAGTAGATTCTCCTCAGCACAATGCACGTTATCGTTTAGCTCAATTCCCACACAATGTATAAGTGTACAGGCGTGTATATGTACAACAGCAAAAGATCCATGGTGTGACATTTCATGCACATCTGCCCCGCATATACGCAAGGATTGGACGCCCTATTTCCAAAGTTTTTAGTTCGGTGATGAAAAAGTATTAACAGGGTAAATTTGGCTATTTATTACGGTAGCGATATGAACAACCAAACGGAGCAATGTTTGATCTGGTCTGATGTTTGATTATATCCTTCATATGGAACCTGACCTCAGCGAAGAAAGTTTCCGTGGCACAGGTGTACCTGGTTCCCGCTCCAGCTTCCCGCCAACCGCCCATGTGTTTTGCCTTTAGTACGTAGCAGTCGTTAACGACTGGAGTAATTAAGGTGGGTAAGTCAGACTGCGCGTGACGGGCTGCCCCATACGCGATATCGAGACAACAAAAGTGACACACACAGTTTTTGCGGGCAGTCTAGATGGCTGCTTGGCGGTTCAGGCAGCAGGTAATCCGAAACATCCCACTGCTACCTGTCAGAAGCAGCCCTGAAAGGCCGAGTGGAGGGGTGGCAGTCTGAGCATCATGTCAACGTCCAATTAGCAATTAATTGTTGAACGCGGGGCGGGTGGATGGAGAGCGCGATACACGAGTGGGAAGCCACAGACGGCACACCGATCCTTTCATTCTTGCCTCCTGTGCCAACGTTTTACGTGTCTGAGCCGTTGGTGCCAAGGGGCTCGCCAACCCGGTACCTCGCAGCAGCGTCCGGGTGGCGCCTGCGTGTGTGTTAAAAAGGCGATAGTTTTAGAACCAAATTTTCTGTAATTATCATACCTAAAAGCTAGCTCAGCACTATCGATTCGAGATAAAAAGCATCTTGTTAGTACTGTGGGATGATCCTCGCTCATGCAGTTTTATATTACGAGGTCACGAGAGTTCGCAAACACGACTGAGAGATGCAGACGCTCCTTAACGTCGCTGCCGTTCAACGGTGTCTAGTAGCGCATCATTCGTTTGTTTAGGAAAAAAACGCTATCGGGCCCCAAACGCGTTAAAGAAAAGTACCTTGTCAAAAATGTCGCAGGCCACAATTTTGTGACTGTATTGAGACGAAAGTTACACAGTGGAAATCAGCACACGAGATTGTAGTAGAATTCTAACTGCTTGCGCGATGGCTAGACTGGTGGTGACCCGGCTCGTGCCAGTCTTTCTCGCGAGTCAGAGAAAGGTAAATCTTGTCAGTCAACATTTGATATGTTCCAGTAACTTTCACTCGCCAACACGCACACCACACCACATTGTCCACGTGCATAACCACAGCATCCCTACGTCGTCAGGTCCATAGAGCGTATTCGCATGCATGACAACAAACAGTGCGCCTTATGTACCACTTCCAACGGAAACGGATCCTCATCATATGCTACGGAAATGACGCGATAATCAACCAATGAGAAGCGAGTTCGACTTCGTCCGATGGGCCGCTAAACCATCACAGAGCGTGGGACCTCCTTGTGATCCCAGAACTATCTCACGCGACGGGTGGCTAGTGAGGCGCTGAATGCGTTTTTTTGAAAGAAGTATCGAATCTCGTTGCGGCTGCTATGCATAGTTTATTTCCGACGGAACAGATGGCGTTAAAGGATTCCGAGTCTGTTTTCGTCCTAGTGACTGTCGCGGATACTAGAGACCTTTTGTCTAGATATTTGGAGGTTTTAGATTGTGGAGACTTCTCCTGTCGTGAGCAAAATCGTGTTACAGAGGTAAGTTTTTGACATATTCTGATGAGAATCATGGATAGGATTTTGTTATTTGTCACTCGCTGTCATTAAAGGTAGAATGCTCTAGATGCACACACGGGGTCCAGACCCCGGTGCGAACGGGCAGCGCCTGTCAGATGACGACCGGCGATGGTATCCCGCAGGCGAGAGCAGCTGTCCGACGCCGAGCGGGGCAGAGCGGACTGGGGACGGGCGCCGCCGCCGCACATTCGTCTCGTACCGCGGCTCGGTGCTCACCTGGCTGCTGAAGGACTCTCTCGGCGGCAACTCCAAGACGGTGATGGTCTCAAGTAGGTGACTGCCGGACCGAGCTGGCCTGCGTCAAGTGGCGGCCGGTGGTCCGGAAATAGTGCGCATGTGGTGCATGGCAGTTGGCGGATGAAATACCACGAGTCTTCGATGCGGAGAAAACGAGTGTCAAAAGCCAGAGTGTTAACGTCACCGACAACTGACGCCAGTATGTCCCAAACTGGTGCTCTGTGAGAGTCAAGATCTTGTTCCGGTAGGAAAATCCACTGCAACGATAGAATGGTCGCCGGTCACCAAGGGGGCCACGCAGCGTCGAAGGAAGCTAAGCTCTGTACCTTGCGACCTTCGCGGTGTCCAGGTGACAATGTCTGGTACAGCTGGTTTCAGGAAAGCAAAATAACGCTTGCAGGAAATGTTCTACATTTAAAGATATTGAGGCAAGCATGATATACGAGAAAATAACCTCACTTACAGCTATTGGTTAGCTTTTAAGCGTCAAAGAGCGTTCTAGACAATATAATTTCAGTATTATTAAATGTGTTCCCTAACACGTCATTGTTTTATTGCGTCGTGGTGCATCTTTATGCCGTCAGAGCCGCTGTCAGACAGGCCGTGGCAGAGTGGCCATAACGGGTGGGTAACGTACTTGTAGTACTTCAACTTGCCGAGAGGTGGTGGAGTTGGTTGGAACGTGTTTACCAAACCCGAATACCGTTGGGTATATACCGAATACCGTGTTCTAGCCCTTTCTCGTGGCGTTTTTGCATATTTGTCGGTGAATTTGAATACGTTACCTGTGTTCGCATGCTTGGTTATGGCGCCCAGTCTTAATTTGGTTAAAACTCGTACCACTGCCCAAATTCCCGTGTTATGTAGTACAAAATGTGATTCATGCCCGAGGTTTGCCCGGAACGCGTTGCATTGCTTGAGGACCAACTTAAGTCCGCTGATGCCAGAAATCGTACTGACTTATGCCATACACCAACGAGTCGATGATCACATTTTTCTTGACCTTGAGCACAACATGGCCGACGGAGTGGCAGCATTCGCACAACGTTTCTGTGCCATCGTGCATGCCTTGATGACTTTGACATATTATACAGAATTTCGCAGGCGTCAAGCTCAGCAAATAACGGTTTTTAAGGGAACGTTTCAACTTTGAAGATATTGAAGCAAATGTCAGGCATGATGAAATAAGGTTGCGTGTAACTATTGGCATATTTTCAAGTGGAAAAGAGTGCTCCAGGCAACACAATTTTTCGATTCAGTGAATATGCTCCTAGAATGTCATGGTTTGGTTACAGCATTATACCATGCACAACATTGATTGAGAGCTGGTTGGTGGCCGTTATGTCTGGAAATCGTGCTCACGAACGCCACATATAAACGACACGACCATTATATTTTTCTCGGCCTTGATGGTCGCATGGCTTACGTGATGGCGTTATAATGATGTCAGAATTGTCGAGATGACCTTGAAATACTCCTCCCAAAGTCCTCTTCCCATGTTCACGGGCGTGTAGCTAAGAAACTAGATGGGCTTAGGTCTTAAGAAGGGTATGGCGGAGAACCGCACCAAAAGGTGTTCAAGAGACCTAAGTTTAAAAGGCTGCTGTAGAAGATTTTTTAAAATGCTTCTAGGGTCGTGATGGCTGGATTGCGTCATTGCACGTTTGGCAACGATGAGAGACATTTGACGGCCGTTATATCTGGAAATCATACCCATGAACACCAGGCATAGACGACTTGACAAGTATATTCTGCTTGGCTTTGATCACCACATGGATAATGAGATGACAGGATTTGAATGACGTAATTGTGGCGTCATGTATGCCTGGGTGACTTTGAAATAGTATGTATATCTTTGCGAGCGTTTAGGTGAGGAACGAGAAGGGTTTAGGTCCTAAGAAGGGCAGGGCTGTGAATTGCACCAAATGATCTTCAAGATGGCTGATGGTTATTTCATTTCACACCGTCATACAAATGTGGAAGTATGGGAGTGCAAGTCAACTTCTTAAAGGGAATGCTCCACACATGCATGGGATTTTAAACTGAGGTAACCGTATTGAAGATTCTTCAATGCATTTCACAGCCCTGCGCGATTTCCACCGTTCCAGTTTCCGAGCTGCACGCCCGCAAAGACGTGCCGACCGTCTTGAGGAGACTTTTTCAAGGTCGTCTGGGCGTCCATGATGCCATAAAAGCGTCATTCAAACTCTGTCATTCCGTTGTCCACGCGGCGATCAAGGCCAAGAAAAATAGAATTGTCGATTGATTGATGCCTGGCGTTCGTGAACGCGATTTCTAGATGTAACGAGAATTTTAGCAGTCTTTTCCGCTTGAAGTACAACAACAGTTATAATTTAGCTTTTGCATGATTTCAGATGCTTGCTTCAATATCTTCAGATGCGGAGCATTCCCTTTTAGGAGCATAATGCCTGGCCTTTAACGTTTATTCAAACACAAAGCTTAAAGCACTCCTTTTATTTTGATTTTGGTCACCGTGACCCTATAAATTTTAATTGAGGTCACTGACCTTAAATGGCAATCTGTGACCTTTTGCTTAGAACAGGTGTTGCAGAGTTTTACCCTGTTTGACCCTATTTGACCCAAATGTTATGATTTAGGAACCATAAATTTTGACACAAGTGAGTTCATGTACAGGTCAGTATACCCTGTGAATTTGGTGTCTTTAGCTCTCTCAGTTTCTGAGATGTCAGGGCTCAGATTAACCCCCACGCGACGGAAGGACATTCAACTGGCACCAGGCCGTGTGTTGAGTGAAGATGCTGCACCATAGTGCCAGCCACCTCCAGTCTTCTATACCCGAAACATGTCGCAACAGAGGTGGTTAAGGCAGTCGAGCACGTCGACATGATGGCCGGGGTCAGAAGTAACAATGACTTTTGTACAGGTAGGTGGCGACCTGATATGGCGAACCCAGCGAGTCAATCGGGTCTCAGTGAGTTAATCGGCACTATTGCTGTAACATCCCAGAACGGCCCAGTACCGAAACCGGTATGGATAAGGCCGCAAGATGATAAAAAGACACGACGGTGGGGTTTTGGTGCAATTACCGATCATACTGGTATCTTGTTTATGTGGCATTGTTATATTTGTATTAGTGTGCCAACTCTGTCATTTGTTAGGCAAGTCTGCGTATGTTGTTAGGTTTTTCACAAGATAACAGGTAAATAAGAGCTCCCGTAAAAAAGGCTGCCGTAATGCCATGGGCTTTTAAAGCTAGAGACGGTTTGGCCAGTGTCCGCCAGGCCGCAGTCCGCCGCCTTTCAGGTTGTAAGTCGGTGGAACTGTGACGTCATTTCCTGCCGCAAAATGTGCAGTCAAACACTAGTATTGTGAATATCGATGATTTGACAACATTGTTCAGCCTTTAGGGGCTCCTTGTCTTAATCCAAGATGTAAAGGAACCAAATGACGTTGGTCCTTGAAATGCTGGTCTCGCATAATGATAAATAGTGTCGGAAATGGACTGTCACGCGTAAGACGACAGGGTTCCGAGGCGAAGAAACAAAGCCACTTGCAGATCATTTATAAATTCGCAAGCTGAAAATTTGAGAGAGCTGCAGTGAATTCAGCAACAGCTGATGCAATAACAATGCCAGGGGCGGTGCAATACAAATGTCGGGCGGAAGACGTGTCGCCTCTATTGTCAGATAGAACGGGACCGGGGCCACCTAGTTTTTATATTGCACTAGCAATTCATCACTATTTGATGTAGCAATCTTCTTGCAGGAAAAATACATTCCTCGTACATACAATACAGGTTTTAACTATGGGACCCGAATTATCAGTCTACTGAATCACCCTCCTCACATTGGTAGTGTTATATTGATGCAAATGCTGCTTGAGCTATAAAAACGTTCGGCGATATATGCTGTCCCACCACATACATTGCCTTCGTGCCCAGAGTTTATTGCAGGATTAGGAAGTAATTGGATTTTCACGTGCCTGAAACCTATGAATAGAAGGCACGCTGTAAGCGACAGGTGGAAACCGAAAATGGATCGTAGCATATGTAATGCAATGCAATGTTCTTAATATCCCAGGTACGACTGCTGTTTTCGTCCGGTTTCGGTGAATTACATTCACGTGGTGTGACTGTTTTTGTCATCGCATTTTTTCAGTAATTTCAGGGTGCCAATAGATGCGATTCTAAATTTTGCCCACCTCTTCTTCATCGCGCATCATAAAACATTTTGTATATAGGTGCTTTGCATCATATTGTCGTATAATAACTTCTGTAGCCGCTTCCGTGCTGAAGGAATTACAATTTGTGATGGCAATCTCCACAGCTTTGAAAAATTTTGTTTTCATAACAGTGTTCAAATGCAGTTTCATCTCGTGTTTAAACGATTATCTTTCAAACAGTTTTGGTGCGATGAAGCTTAGATATCAAACAAAGGCGGGGTCTAAACCGGGCTGGATCGGGGAGCAGGAAGCCCATTGTCCCCCTCAGTGTGTTCGGGCTTTGTATAAAGTATGTCAAAAGGTCCTTTGCACTGGCCAAATCCCAATTTCCATTGGAAAGAGACGTGAGAAATGACGGTGCGTGGATTCGCATTAACAATGAACCAGCGACATGTAACCGTCAGAGGCTCCATCACCGAACGAGGGGCCCTCTGCACCGTTTCAATCGACGGCCGGAAAGCCAAATTATGGGAATCCCTGTCCTGGTGAGGGATGCTCATGCATCAGTGCCAGCTCCTGTGTTGACTTTGTGCCGGATGTCCAGTTCAGAGGGCCTCAGGGTCGTCATATCTGCATCAGGACATGATGCATCCCTCTCAGTGTATTATGTCGTCTTCTGAGGCCTTCCGGATCAATCAGGGGTTCCGTGTCTCCGTATCACCAGAACAGCAGCTGCTAGGTACCCCGGGCTGTGACGGAAGGGGCCCTTAGCTATCGTAAAACTGCCTGATCAATATCCCTCACACGTGCGATTTAGAGGTTGGTTCTCTGTGCAGAATTAGTATTTACAGCGACACGAGCTATCGATATTATGCCAATGCGTCAAAAGACCGTGGTGATGTACGTACTAATCTGTTCCGAGTGTTGTTTCCCTCAACAGTGGCAAGTGTTTTTGTAGCAGCGCGCAATGTCGCCCGGCCTTAATGAAGTCCCTCCTCGTCCCGATTGATCCCGTGCAGTCACCCCAGGGTCGGCCATGGGGGACCCGGGACAACAGGGTGGTAGCGATCGCAGGGGGGGGGGGAGAGGGGTGGTAGGGCATCAAAGTAGTGGGGCATCAGGGTGGTAGCGATCGCGGGGGGGGGGGAGAGGGGTGGTAGGGCATCAAAGTAGTGGGGCATCAGGGTGGTAGCGATCGCGGGGGGGGAGAGGGGTGGTAGGGCATCAAAGTAGTGGGGCATCAGGGTGGTTAGCGATCGCGGGGGGGGAGAGGGGTGGTAGGGCATCAAAGTAGTGGGGCATCAGGGTGGTAGCGATCGCGGGGGGGGGAGAGGGGTGGTAGGGCATCAAAGTAGTGGGGCATCAGGGTGGTAGCGATCGCGGGGGGGGGAGAGGGGGTGGTAGGGCATCAAAGTAGTGGGGCATCAGGGTGGTAGCGATCGCGGGGGGGGGAGGGGTGGTAGGGCATCAAAGTAGTGGGGCATCAGGGTGGTAGCGATCGCGGGGGGGGAGAGGGGTGGTAGGGCATCAAAGTAGTGGGGCATCAAGGTGGTAAGCGAATCGCGGGGGGGGGGAGAGGGGTGGTAGGGCATCAAAGTAGTGGGGCATCAGGGTGGTAAGCGATCGCGGGGGGGGAGAGGGGTGGTAGGGCATCAAAGTAGTGGGGCATCAGGGTGGTAGCGATCGCGGGGGGTGGGAGAGGGGTGGTAGGGCATCAAAGTAGTGGGGCATCCAGGGTGGTAGCGATCGCGGGGGGGGGGAGAGGTGGTGGTAGGGCATCAAAGTAGTGGGCATCAGGGTGGTAAGCGATCGCGGGGGGGGGGGAGAAGGGTGGTAGGGCATCAAAGTAGTGGGGCATCAGGGTGGTAGCGATCGCGGGGGGGGGGAGAGGGGTGGTAGGGCATCAAAGTAGTGGGGCATCAGGGTGGTAGCGAATCGCGGGGGGGGGAGAGGGGTGGTAGGCATCAAAGTAGTGGGGCATCAGGGTGGTAGCGATCGCGGGGGGGGGGAGGGGTGGTAGGGCATCAAAGTAGTGGGGCATCAGGGTGGTAGCGATCGCGGGGGGGAGAGGGGTGGTAGGGCATCAAAGTAGTGGGGCATCAGGGCGGTAGCGATGCTGTGCTCTGAGGTGGTGTCGACAAAATACTCGTTCTCGTCCTCAAAGAGACATTTCCGTGCAGTCGTGATTTGAAGAGTGTAATATCAGTGACTTATGTTTTTTATCACGCTTTGCCATTGAATAGCCATTTGAATGTCACTGAAGTCTCGGTTGTGCAAGGAATACCGGTGTCACCGTTAATAAAACATGGATGGATTTTTTTGTGGGCCACCTTGAATAAACGGTAGTTTCACAAAGACGTGTTCACTTTTAAATCTGAACCTTTCAAATGGATGGATTTCTGGGACCCGAGCTCGCTCTAAGCAGCGCTTTTTGTGTGGGCCCTGACTCCTTCCATCTGATCGCGCAATGCCGCGCAATTTATATTTGTGCAATGACCAAAAATTATCGTGCTATCTTTCTAGGGATGAAATCAATGCATCTTGTACAATGTGTTCCACAGTGAAAGAAATACTGGTGTGGTGTTGATCGACTTTTTAGAATACAATGTCGGAGTAGTTGCGAAATACGGGTTAGAATAACTGCGAAACATGAGCATCGTTTTAAAATATCAAATGGTCTGCGCATGACAACTGGTTTTTTGAAAACGTCGTTGAACCAGCACTTCCGGGTATGCTGAAAGTAGATTATTTTCAACGTTATTATTCCCAGCTCATCACCCCCAAAAGAGATTCAGGGTTTTTCTTGCCGATATCAACTTCCAAACATGTAGCTAAAGTTGTTAGTTAGTTAACAAAGTTTAAAATTAGGTAGCAAAGTTAGCAAAGCTCACCCTATTTTCCTAAGGCCAGATGCTTCTTGAGGTTTCTCTGGAGACCCGTTCAGTCGGCAGCCTTTATCCACTCTGTCCTTCGGTCGGCAGCCTTTATCCATTCTGTCCTTCGGTCGGCAGCCTTTATCCATTCTGTCCTTCGGTCGGCAGCCTTTATCCCCTCTGTTCTTCGGTCGGCAACCTTTATCCACCCTGTCCTTCGGTCGGCAGCCTCTATCCACTCTGTCCTTCGGTCGGCAGCCTCTGTCCACTCTGTCCTTCCAGTCAATGACATGTCTGTTGATGAGGTTGTGCAGGTCCAATTTTACTTTCATATATACGTACATCCCACCAATGCATTCGAAAATGTACATATACTCTTCCACGTATGTGTCAGGCCACGTCATTCTACATCGAAAACAGCCCTTTTCGCGTTTCGGGACACGCTCGATGAGCCACGAGCGATACCAGTTTCGTTCATCACATGGACTTGAATTACTAGCATGCTGTTTCGTGAATATCGTCAAATTTCAAAAGTTTGCAGAACTATTCGGAATTAATATAAGTTGGATGCACAAAGCATGCCACGGAGCTACCTGTTCGACCCTGGTAGGCGTCATTCTTCCTTCACGCCCGCGCTAGATAATTAAAAGTACCGGAGGCGCGAAAAAGCGGGCTATATTTTGGCGAGATACGGATGATAAAAGCAGCGGAAGCTGCTCAGTAAGTGAATTTCTTTTAAGTATCGTGTCGGCGTATTCATTCACTCAGAAAGTAGTTCCGTTACGCAACGAGATAGCGGAGTAACTAACCGTGCCCACCCATGCGGCCGCAGAAACAAAACTGGCAGTTAAAGCTGGCAGTTTAGTAACGTGATATGCCAACGGCATGACCCGCAAAACATAACAAAACATTTCTCAAAACATGCTGCTCAAAATTCCCCCCAAGCATTAGAAGATGGTCACGTGACAGGGGCTGAAAATACATGGGCGTGCGCGGACCAGTTGGGAGCTGTTCCAATAGACCTCGCTCAGATTACCCCCTAACGGCTGCGGGTTAAACAGGTTGATGGTTGACGCCTTGCTGAAGCTGCCTCGGAGGACGTGATGAGCTGCCGCCGTTTCAGCCGTGTCACCAGCCAGCACGTGCTACAGTGACACTCTCAGCACGCTGCGCTTCGCCGACCGAGCCAGAGCCATCGTGAACCGGCCGGTGGTGAACGAGGAGCCCGGCTCACGGGTGGTGATGGAGCTGCGCGCGGAGGTCAACAGGCTCAGAAGTCTGCTGGCCCTCAACAAGGTCAGCCGCTGCCCACGGATCTGTCGGCAAGGACGCCGGCCTTGCGAAGGCTGAAACGTACGGGCTTGACGCCTTGGATGTTTTGTGGTGTATGTCGTGCCAAAGTTTTCAGTATTTGTAGATAGAACCGACAAGTGGGACAAGTGGGACGTGTCAAAGTATTCGGTATTCGTAAATAGAACCGACAAACGGGGCATATGGATGATGTCTCTCGTTTCCAACATCGTTCAAGAGGCTTCTTGTGATTAATCAAATAGGTGCATCTGTTGTCTCCATGTAACGTCATAATGATAATGCTCTGTTTTTCCCGATGTAAGATATAGCTGCTCTCTCTGACATCATCTGCTGGGCACTTAACGCCACAGTTTCGGGACGGGGAAAACTTCCACGTCCTAACCCCGCCCCTGTGCTCTGCACATGATCTCCCTGTACTCCCCTGGTAGTCGTACGTTGCGCGCCCGGGCAGTCCTTAAATGGAGTGTTCCACATTTCTATGAAGTTGTGAAATGAAATAGCCATCTAGAAGAACTTTTGATGCAGTTCACAGCTCTGCCCTTGTTAAGACCTAAACCCCTCCAGTTCCTGAGCTGCACGCCCAGGAAAATGGGGAGAGTATGTCTGGTAGAATATTTTGAGGGCGCCGCGGCATTCATGGCATCATAATAACGCCATTCAAATCCTATGATTCCATAAGGCATGCTGCGATCAAGGCCGACACAAATATAATGGTCGAGACGTTCCTATCGGGCGTATCTGGAGAACACGATTTCCAGATATAACGGCCATTAATTGGCTCTCAGTCAATGCTCTGCAAAGTACGATGACACAATCAAACAATAACTTTTGAAGAACATATTCACGAAACAGAGCAACTGTGTTGTCTCGAACACTCCCTTCGTTTTAAAAAATACCAATGGTTATAAGTGAGCTTGGAACATTCCCTTCAAGAGGGAACGTTCCCTTTTGAAGATATTGGTACAAGCATCAGCTATATAAGACAGTAGTAATGGCATTATTGCTCGTAGAAAACCCTGGAGAATGGAGAGATACGTGCGTTGATACTTCTGGGAGCAGGCCGTTAACTATTGGTATGCGGCTAAATGCAAGAGACTGCTCGAGACTACACAATTTCACTTGTAATAGTTATGCTTCTCAATGCGTCATCATTTTATTGGAGTGTTCCATGAGCGTCATGGAACATATGTATGGCGTGGAGGAGCTGCCAAACTGATGGTGTGAAGTCGTTAATCGGAGGAGTTGAGCTTCTGGAGAGGTGTCGTGGTAATGGGCGAGGCGGGTCTTCCAGCTCTCAAATATCGTTGTGTGCACGTGTTTGGGTCCTTTCTCGTAGTGTTCTCGCATATTAACTCGTGGTTTTATGCCGCTTACTTGCACTCATGCTCTAGTCGTTAGCCTCCAAATGGCAGAACCCACCATGATCTGGAGGGAATAAATGCGCCGCATGTACGCACATGTGCAGAACGCCTAGTTTTGTAGTCCCGCGCACAGGAGGAATAGTTACCCGCATAAAAATAATAAATCCAGGAATCTTGAACTTTAACGGCTGACATCCGAATGGCTTTGCGAAGGGGGTCGAAAGAACCAGTGGGAGCCACGATCCAGCGTCTCCCTTTGCCGCGGGAACCAACTGGAACCAGGAACCAAAACTGGGAACCAGGCATATGTCTGGTTCGGACACATGCTTTCTAGTCTTGCTGCTAAGACGCATTCATGTAAGCTTGTGTTTGTGCTAGCATCACCGATCTGCGAGACAGAATTGGCTGACGCTTATGCAGGTGGTGATACTGACATCTTTTTGTATTTTTGACGCAAGAGCGTCGTATTTGTTCTCAGACTAGGCGGATAAATTTATAAAGGAAGTGTTTCTTGTTTGAAGACATTGAAGCAAGCATAAGATATGACGAAATAGATTCACTTATAATCATTGGTATATTTTTAATCGGGAAAGGTTGATCTAGACAACATAATTTCTCTGTTTAAGAAATATGCTCCTCAATCCGTCACTGTTTGATTACGTCATGTTACCTTGCACAACATTGATTGAAGCCCATTTTGCGTTTGTTATATCTGGAAATCGTGCTCACAAACGCCAGATATGAACGACTCAGCAATTATATATTTTCAGCAATTATACATTATATTTTTTTGTCATGCGACCTAGATTGCCGCATGGCAAATAGAATGGAAGGGTTTGAATGACGTCATCATGGCGTTGTGAATGCCTGGGTGACCTCGCAAAAGTCTCCCCGAAATAGCCTGCACCTTTGCGGGCGCGTAGCTCAGAAACTAGAAGGGTATAGGCCTTAAGACGGGCAGTGCCGTGAACTGTACCGAATGATCTTCATTATCGCAATTCCAGTTCAAACCACACAAATTTGAAGCAGTCGCTTTAGAAAGGAACCTTCTGGTGCTAATCTTGCATCGTTTTAAATTTTGTATGTACACAGGGCTAATGTCCATACCCAACCCCTGCGCGCCGCCTTAGACCGTGCCACGCACCCGACGTTAGGGGAGGGGGGAGAGAAGGGATGGCGAGGGGCTCTTGGAGGGGCGGTGGCCGACCGCTGCGGGCAGAAGGGCCGCATTCGTCCTTGCTGGATCAGTCGGCAAGGAAATGCGGAAACGAAACATATTTTCTCATGTATAGGCTTGCTTTCTCTAACCTTGTTTTCGAAAGCTTTCTGTTAAGTGATATATCATGCACTTATTTCGAATACCTTGATGCGTAAAATGTAGCCTTGTCCCATGTATATCCATCATTCGTGTGTTTACGTTTGCGAAATAGTTTGCGGTGGTCTAAGCAAGGGTAAATAGCTGTAGAAAACCCTCTAAGTAAGGGCAAATAGCTGCAGAATACCCTCAAGGACTCGGAATGTAGTCAGCGATGCATGCTGAACGCCCTTTGGGTATTTTGAGTTCGCGGGTTGCGAGTCTGTGGGCTCTAATTCGAACCCACGTCCCCGACTGAGGCTGGGTGCGCCCCCCCCCCCCCCCCCATCGGGTAATAACTATTGGTCCGTGGTGACTGAGAGCCGGAGACTGGCGGTGCATGTGCGATACAAATCCCACACAGCCCACCTTGGGGGCTGCGCTTGGTTGGTTGGCAGTCCGACGCCCCCACGCGGCAGTTCCACGTCAAATACACATCCTCACGTCATCGTTACATCACCATCACATCACATCACCGGAAGTCCCCCAACGCCTCTGCACTTGCCCTAGGATTATGAGACGGAATTTGCTTGTCTGTGGTTGCATTACCCGCGGACAGACAGGCTGGCTAACAAGACAAATAGACAGGCAGGCCCGAAAATTGATGAAATGCACTCGCATGCACTCGGATGCACTCGCAAAACGTATCACCATATACGTTCACAGACGAACCCAAACGAGGCGCAAGCAATCCACTAAGTGTGGCGCTTGTTCCACCGCGACATTATAAACGCGGCGATATGCTTGCTTCCATTTTATCATTTGGGTGTGTCAGACGCATGTATGCCCTAATATCCCCGCGTCAGAGGATAAACGTCGGTGTCAACACTGCGGTATCGACTTAGTGTGCACGCAACGAGGGGAAATGGTAGCTGCCGACTGCCATGCGTCATCAGTTATTGATCGAGTTAGCCCGGGGAACTGCGCGGCGGCTTGGGCGGAGCGCCCTTGGCCCACATAAGCTCCCTACATACCCGCCGGGGCACTGGTTCGGTCGGTGTAGGGGAGTAGCGCTCATTCGAGTATTGACTCTGCCGGTGCGTGAGCTCCTGCTCCTTGTCCAGCCCACGCTCTTCCCACCAACCCTATTCCCGCATCCCGCTCTCTTACCATTCTCATCCTCGTGTCATCGGCGTCACCTCATCGGGATCACCAATGCATGCCCCACCCCCCCACCCCTCACTTCCCACCTGCGCCCCCCGGGCTGATCGGATCCTGGTGGCGGGTCGTGCGGGTCAGTCGCGGCGATCCCAATGCACCACTTTCACCAGGGTATCCAGGAGCTCCGGAAGCCCCTAGGGCCCCATTCAGGTCAAGCAGCCTGTCGCCTGAGCTGTGGGCTGTCCTTCGCGGGTCTCCGCTTAGGGTGCTCGGCTGCTCGTGGCAGCTTTAAGGGAGTGTCAAAAGAGCCACTGTGACAAACGCCATTGGGGAGATCTCAAAGTCATAGCATACCGTTTCGCTGAGTTCGCAAGATAATAGTTTCATGTTCACGTTTTTGTTTTGTTTAATCATAGCGTTTCAAGCTTTCGTAGAATTTCTTACACAAACACTTTTGGAACATTGGTGCGTTACGAACATTACAGAAAACGCACGTTGGAAAAAGTGAACTTTATGAGCAAGTGAACTTTATTTCTTTCAAAGTGGTGAGCCGGAAGTCAAATGAGATTACCTTCGCGGGGTCGGTTACTTCAAAAATTAATTCTGAGCTATTCAGGATTTCTTGAGAACTGGTGTTACTGATCGAATCTTACTCGTATGATGTAACGACAAGTGAAAGGTACAAAATGGTCGGATGCTCCCTTTAAAGGGGCAGGTGACGACGGCGCTGAACCACAGTCAGAGCGAGGAGTGTATCTGCGGCTACATCTGGCCGTGTTGGAGGCGTCGTTTGCCTCGTATAGTATTGGAATAGTCCTGGCGACAACCAGCTCCCTAGGGAGTGTTGTACCTTACCCCTGTTGGACTGCGAGGTGGGTAGGAACACAGGTAGCACAGTGGCGAATGCTTAAATCACTCTTATATGCTTCCTTCTCACCCAAAAGACATCCGACCTCAGATAGGGGGACGGACCGTGGCACGCCTGGACAGCAGTGAGGTGATTCCTGCTGCCCGAGTACAGTTTGTCGCAGAAGAAAAAAAAACACCTTTGGCCTCCCTCACGTCCTGTCAGAGGTGTGAGGATTCAATCGGGCACACACGATGACGTAGTCAAACGATGGCGTGGTCAAACGATGACGTAGCCAAACGGTGACGTTGTCAAACGATGA